TCACCCCCTATCTTCTGATTTGTCATATTCACTAATATTACTCAGGATATTACATGGCACTATTCTTTCCTCCCATTGCATTTGTTTATAAAGCTGTCAGGCATGTCAGTGATTAAATCCATAATTTGTCTACTTGATTACCCTCCTTGTGATTGAAGTTCTCTCTCTTATTGTCTCTCAGTTAATTTTGCATGAAGAGATTTGTGGTGCTATTTTGCAGTGTGCTCCTATGAATGGAATTAAGTAATGATGAAGATGATATGAATTATGGATTATGAGTGCAATTAAAGCCTGAGGAGTTTTGCTTATTCTGTCCTGATCACACTTGGTTCCTGCATCATTCTAAGACATGTGGGAGGGATGGTCATTATAGAATGTTGTTGTTATGATGCATAGAGATTTCCAAAAGAGAACATATTATTTTTATTATAAAATGCTTCATATTTTTGTCTAGGAATATAAATACAAAATGTTCATGTACAAAACCTGCATTACCTACTGGAATACTGTAGTTGGAGAGAAGTTTACAGAAAATAAATTGCTGTGTGTACTTTACTTTAACTTGAACATTGTACTGCCACAATTGCATTAAAAGTGCATAAAGGTGAATGAGACATTAACTTTGCATTTATAGATATTATGTATGATAGTCAATAAGCAGAGTGAGATTTGTTATTGAGTACAGACCTACTTGGATTTTATAATCCATAATGGAGACACAGGAAAAGCTCCTTTGGGCTGTTGTTGAACCGCAAGCAAAAACATAATGAGAATACCCTTTAACAGCTGTATGATTACAGAGCACTTCTACTCTTTGTCAGGATATTTATGAAGTGCTTAGAAAATGAGGATGGGTTCATTTTGTGATATCTTTGGAAAAATAAACAACTGTCACAAGTTGATAAAGAATGTAAGGAAAAAAACACAATTGCCACCCAGATTATCACCCAGATGCTTACAAGGCTCACTAAGACTCTATCTTTGCTGGCACAGCATCATAAGCAACCTGCTAGAGATTAGTGTATTTAAATATAAAGTTGGAAGTTAAAAACAGAGAAATACACAGTATACTGTACTGCTGGTTATATACAGAATTTTTATTATTAGTTAAATGTTATGTATTTATGAACATTTAACTAGCATGGTCTACTGAACACATAACATATTAGGTGTTTTAGATGCCAAATATTACAATGTGAAATTATTATTTTTTTTTTATATTAAAGCATTTTTTGGTCATCATCTTCCATTAAACTTTTATTGTCTTTGAGTGTCTTAAGTCGAAGCATGTCTTAAGTCGCATATCAACTGTCTTTTAAATTGTTGTCACACTATACACACCACACCATTGTCAAATTGGCTCTAAAACAGTGGGGTCTTATTTCACTGGCAAAGCCTCTCACAAAGAAAATGAAAATTATGCATTTTGTATGGTATGATAGCGTATCCTATGACAGTGGGTCCTGTCACCCATTCCAAATCCATTTACTATATGTTACTTTGTGTCAATGATAACCTCAAATCAGAGTCACTGAGACATCCACAGACCATCTGCCGTTCACTGAGAAATTGCAGATGTTCCTTTTTCCAATTTATGTGCAGCATCTTTGTATCTGGGTTGGCTTCAACTAGCCTTAGTAACAAGTAATAAAAAAAAAGAAAGTTAATGACATCCCACGGGCAGCCATTTCAAGTCCAATATTCATTAATATTTCATCAACACATCTTTATATGTATTCTAATTACTCATTAAAACTTAAAGGACAAGGATTGTCCATATTGAAGCATTTGGAGTAGAGCAGCTTTTAAGATAGTCACCAGTAATGTTTAAAGGGCATACTGATACAGGATCAAGGGCAAAGTGAGTAGCAGATCAAGCTGCAGTTCTGTCTTGGTTACAGTTACAACTGTAGTTACAAATGTATGTGATATCCAACTGCATGGCAAGTCATGGCCATTCTCCAATTAAGAAATCTTTAATTCATGTGATGCAAGTAAATATATTTTTATTCTAGATCAACATATGCCACACTACAGTACATACTGTACCTTAATTATTGTACAGTATATACTGTACTCTATTACAGCACATCTTTACAGTGAGAAATTAATTATGTAATGTGCCCTAATATGCAGATCACATACCTGTATGCCTTGAAATGTCCTATCATTTGACTGTTATTTGATTGACCTCTGCGATTAGTTCAACTTTTTTCCATTGCCTAGCTTGAATAAATGACTACACTTTCCTTGCTACTACTGTATACATAACGCAAAGAATACTGTATATGCAACATCAAGTTTTTCTTTCTGTCCTTTGTCCTGTATTACATTATGTGCAGGTCATGCAACATGTACTGTAAGTGTGCCTCATGTTTATAGATATTTTTTATTGTTAATAAAATAATTTGGAAACTTCAAGATAAATTACTGTAAGAACATAATAAAGATTTCAAATGAGATCAGGGCTTATTTAGCTTGTTTGGCTGCTAGCAACTGTTTGTTTAAAGGAGTTCATCCAGACTTGTTTTTAAAAACAAGGTATTAGCTTAAATAACATGGTTGGTTAGCTTTCTCCAGATTCCAACGACCATTTTTGTCAAACAGTAATATAGTTTGCCATGTAGTTTCTTTTTCTCTAGTTTGTGTTTTGCTCTTGATTCTACAGTAGTGTTCTCTGTTCAAGGCTGTAAACATTACAATTATTTTAGCATTTCAGTGTAGGTACAGTAGGTTGTTTATCTTTGGACTGATTCCAGAGCAGCAATATTTTTTTGAAACTGATGATCAAAACTGCTAGTAATATTCACAATTCAGTCTTATTATAAACTTTCATGATAGAGAAGTAACATCCACAATAAAGTATTAAAGTGGCAATTATTTATATAAAGTAAAATTTAGCTTATGCAGTCAAAGCAGTTCAAAGTTTATTTTGCTTCTCTAAATAGCAATTAAGATGGTTTTGTTTCATCACCAGGAGTTACAGCCCTAATTACAAAATCATTGCTTTTAAAGTATTTAAACATTGCTTCATGTTGCACGTTGAAACCATTTTTTATTTTTAAAATACATGTTTTAATAAAAATTAATCAAACCCTCATTATTATTTCAGATTCATTTCAATGCACTGTTAATGACTTTTTAATTATTCCACATTTTACGATTGTTTTCATTGGATTGGATCTTTACAGAAGTGCATTCAAACTCAGAAACATAGTTCTTTAATTGTATTCATATTGCTAAGTAGTCTAATGCATGCAAAATGAATGAAGCACTCAAATTAGTAAAATTGTATTGTCAAGTAAAAAGCAAATATGAATTTAGGCTTTTATGTGAGCACAGTGAGAATGGTGTTGATG